TTCCGAGACAGGGTTTCTCTGTGTAGCCCTGGCTGTCCTGGAACTCACTCTGTAGACCAGGCTGGCCTCGAACTCAGAAATCCGCCTGCTTCTGCCTCCCAGGCGCTGGGATTAAAGGCATGCGCCACCACTGCCCGGCCTCTTTTTACCTTTTGAGACAGGGTTTCATCAAGTTGTCAAGGCTGGACTGGAAACTTGGATTCTCTTGCCTTGGCCTGTCAAATCGCTTACACCACCAGACCCAGGAAATTTCTGTTGTCTTAACCACTTGACAGCCAGACAAAACACCTGTAACCCCAGTATTTGAGATCTGGAGTTCAAGGTCAGCTTATTGTTAGTACAGACTTACTATTAAGTAGGATGGATGCTACTCATGGAGACGTCTAAAGATGTTGAGGCAGTTTTATAACTGGGTAGAGGAAGGGGAGGTACGTGCTTTTAAAAGCCTTGATTTTGTATAGTCTCAGCATTGTCTCCAATTCCTAGGTTGAAACCTAATCTTCAGTGTGACAATATTAGGAGGTAGATATAGGGTTTAGAGTTCTAAACCTTCAGCTATGTAAGGACATAGTGAAAAAGTGGTCCTCACTAGATGCCCAATTGGTTAGTACTAGCTTCTAGAACTGTGGAAGAAGTTTTTGTTGTTTATAAGACATCCAGTTTATAGTATTTTGTTACAGGAACCCAAGAAGACTAAGACAATAGCTATATGTATGTTGGTATGGGTGTTAGTATTCTGTCTAAACTCCACCTCCACAGTTACCTCACCACAGCCGGGTATGCTCCTCCCCACAGTTACCTGGCAACAGCCAGGTAGGCGTGCCCACTATAAAAGGGGCTGCTTGCCCCCTCCTCTCTCTCTTACTCTCTTGCCTCTAGCTTCTCCGTCCCCTTGCCCCTCCTCCCTTCCCTTCCCCCTCTTCACGTGGTCATGGACGGTCTCTACTCCTCTTCTCTCTCTCTCTCTGCCTCTACTACCCTCCTGGCTCCCCTCCCCATGCCCTGAATAAACTCTATTCTATGCTATACCGGTGTGTGCCTGGTCCCTCGAGGTAAGAGATGCCTCCGCATGGACCCGCTGAGACATCCCCTTCCCTCATACCTCTCCACACACCCACAGAACATACTCTCTTTATCTCTTTATAAACACATCAATGGGGTTGGAGAGGTGGCTCAGCCATCGAGAGCAATGGCTGCTCTTTCAAATCCAGGTTCGATTCCCAAGCACACATATGGCTCACAACTGTCTCGAACTCTAGTTCCAGGGAATCCAATGCCCTCTTCTCACCTCAGTGGGCCCTGCATGCATGTGGTGCACAAACATACATGCAAGCAAACTACCCACACACATAAAATAAGAATAAGAAGAAAAAAATAAAAAAATAAAGACAGTAAAACTTTGGACATTACAGGTGCTTCTGTTGAAATCTGACATGGAAATAAAGACACATGGAAACTGGAAGGAACGAAAAGAACTTGATTGAATTTATTCCAATAAAGGTAGAACTTGTGAGTGATAAACTTGGATTTTTAGCCGAGCTTCCTAAGAAATGCATTGAAAAATGTCGTGGACAGTGGCTCATGCCTGTAATCCCACCACACAAGAGGCTGAGGCAAGAGGACGGTCATCAATTTTAGGCAATTCTGGCTACATAATTAATTCCAGACCAGCCTGGACTACAGCATGAGAACCTATCTGGAAAACAAAGGGAAAGAAGCACACACAAAGAAAAGAGAAAAAGGAAAAGTATTGAAATCTGGTTTCTCCTTGTTGCAACAGAAAAATATGAACAGGAACAGAGCAATTGAAAAAGAAGTGTTTGGAGCGGGGTGCGGTGGTGGCACACACCTTCAATCCTAGCATTTGCTAAACCTATCTGGAAAACAAAGGGAAAGAAGCACACACAAAAGCCGGGCAGTGGTGGCGCATGCCTTTAATCCCAGCACTTGGGAGGCAGAGGCAGGCGGATTTCTGAGTTCGAGGCCAGCCTGGTCTACAGAGTGAGTTCCAGGACAGCCAGGGCTACACAGAGAAACCCTGTCTCGAAAAACCAAAAAAAAAAAAAAGAAGAAGCACACACACAAGAAAAAAAAGAAAGAAAAAAAGGAAAAGTATTGAAACCTGGTTTCTCCTTGTTGCAACAGAAAAATATGAACAGGAACAGAGCAATTGAAAAAGAAGTTTGGAGCAGGGTGCGGTGGTGGCACACACCTTCAATCCTAGCATTTGCTAAGTTCGAGGTCACCCTGATCTACAGAGTTCCAGGACAGCCAAGAATACAGAGTACACAGAGAAACCCTGCTTCAAAAAATCTTTTTAAAGGGGTGGGGGTGGGGGAAATGACGTTAAGATTTAGAACAATTTTTGCCTAACCTGTAATGGAAAAACCAAGAATGTGTTCTAGAGGAAAGACCAAGGGTGTGGCTAGATAATTCATAAAAAAAAATCATTGCTTTGTATATTTTACTGATCTTAGCAGCTCTCTTATCAGAATACAGAAACTGAGGTGGAATAACACCTGCACAGAGAACCAGCCAACTGAGACCGAGGGAAACAGGGAGGGACAAAATAGAGGGCTCTCCCCCTTCTGCAGTTCTATAGGATAGAACAGTAGGGGTTTCAGGCTGTGTGAGAAGGGCGATTCCGGTGGTAGAACTGGCTATACCTCAGTTCTGAAAGGCAAGCAGTTCCTTAGTTTTAGTGGGACAAGCTGCCACTCAGGCTGAGGCCTCAGTAGGTTCAGAGGCAGAAGAAGCCAGAGCATCAAGTCAAAATTTAACACTAAGTGGACATTTAACTTACTTGGAACTTGGGACCCCTTTATTCTTTCAAGTTCTCCATTGTGGAATGGGATTTCCTACCTCCTCCACTGCTCCCCAGCACCCCCCTCACCAGCCCAGACAGGGTCTCACTATGTAGCTCTGACTGGCCTGGAATTCACAAGAGATTTGTCCCTCCCACTGCCTCTTGAGTGCTGGGATTAATGCGTGCCTTACTTCCCCAGTTTGCCTTTGCATTTTGTAAACAGAACACTCACCTTGTTTCACACGTTCACAGCTGTTAAGTTTCAAACCAGAGACAAAAGGCTGAGGTGCCTATTTAACATATCAAAGGACACCTAGCAGCTAGCTTCTCCCAGCATCCCCCAGTCCCTACCAGTTACAGGGTGTGGCATACCCCACATGCCCCTTTTCCTTTTGTACCTTTGTCCTCCCCTGGCTGTTGCATCTGGTCCCCCTCCTCTGCCTTCTTATTTCCCCCCATCTCTCCACATGGCCCAGCTCAGTCTAGTCATAGCCACTCTAGCATATCCCAGATGCCTCTGCTCTCCCGCAGCTCTACAATGAACTTTCTCCTCCACCATACCTGGAAGCAGTATGTCCTTCCCTTTTAATTCCCTTTTCCTCATTCACCAGCAAGAGTTCTTGCCTCTGAATGACTCATCCCCCATCTTATTCAGGTGAATAACGTCTTGGAGTTAAAAATCCATGCCAGGGGAGAGATGGATCAGGGGTTAGGAGGAGCACTGGCTACTCTTCTAGCACTTAGAAGGTCGCTCACAACCATCCAATCCCAGGGGATCTGACACATTCTTCTGGCTTCCACACGTGCTACACACATGGGTTGCACAGAAAACAGCCATATACGTTAAGATAAACGTATATTTAAGAAAATCCACGCAAGGAACTAGGCATGCTAGCTAGCGCAAGCAGGATCTCACCGCTGAAGACACTGAGCTAGAAGGGTCAGGAAGTTCACCAGTTCAACTTCACCCCGAGTTTCATGGAAAGATCCGCCTGGAATACATACCTTGTCTCCAAATGAATGAATGAATGAATGAATCAACCATTCAAAAGCTAGGCTTCGTGGCACACACCTCCAATCTTAGCCTTGAGGGGCTGCTACCCTGGACAACATAGTGAGTTCTAGGGTAGCTTAGGTTATATAATGAGAACATGACTCAAAAAAAAACAAAAAGAAACAAAAAATAAAAAAAAATCATTCATGCCGGGCAGTGGTGGCGCACGCCTTTAATCCCAGCACTTGGGAGGCAGAGGCAGGTGGATTTCTGAGTTCGAGGCCAGCCTGGTCTACAGAGTGAGTTCCAGGACAGCCAGAACTACACAGAGAAACGTTGTCTCGAAAACAAAACAAAACAAAATCATTCATGAATGATGGCCATGGCTCAGGGATATAGAGCCCTTGTCTAAGGCCCTGGATGCTCTTTCATCTCTAGCACTCCAGCCTCACCTTCAAACGGTGATTCTAGGATGAGCGAAGGACTTGAGGATGAAGGATGAGATAAACAGAGTTTGCATGCAAGAAGGACGTGAATTTAGGGAGTCCAGAGGGCAGGGATGTATGGACTGAACTGTGCCCTCTTCAGGTTCATATACTGAAGTCCTTACTCCCAGAACCTGAGAAGGTGGTGAGTCTTTTAAAAGATGTGATTAAGTTTAAAATGAGGCTAGCTCAATAGACTCTAACCCAATCTGAATGGTGTCCCTAAGAGGAAAGTTGTTCACATACAAACAGCAGAAGCCGGGGATACGGGGAGATGGGAGAACATCTGGGAACACAGACTGCAGTGCTAAGGAAAGAGACTTCAGAAAATAAAACCAGAAAGCCAAACCTTCCGACACCTTGACTGACTGACTGGCTCCAGTCCTGAGAACATCCATGTCTGTTGCTTAAAACGTTCAATCTCTATCATCTTGTTAAGAGCAGCTCAAGCTAATATGAGGGGACTAGGAAGTTACTGGCGAGATTTATGGGGTAAGTGATAGGGTGATCTTGAAGAGAGGGCTGTGGAGTGAGTTCTAGGTTCTACAGGGTAAATTATGACCGTGCATGGAGTCAGTCAGTGTTAGGGGTTTGTAAGAGCAGACAAGGTATACCTATGTGATGATGGAAGCCTACGGATGATGAAGTAATGGGAGAGATCTGTGGGGCTCGTTATATGACGTTTCTGGGATTAGTAATTAAATATCTCTCAGTGTTATAGTTAAAGACATTTTATTTCCTGGTTTTGGACATTGCCACCATCATGGACTTCCCACCGTCTCTTCCATCTTTTTCCTATGGTTCCTGGCAGAAGTTCTGCCCGTTCCCTACCTTTTCTGACTCTGGCCCTTTGCATGCTCACTCATCAGGTCTGAGTGTGACAAATCCGATAGTTCTGACCCTCCAACCTGTGAGAGGAGGAGGAGGAGGAGGAGGAGGAGGAGGAGGAGGAGGCGGAGGCGGAGGCGGAGGCGGAGGAGGAGGAGGAGGAGGAGGAGGAGGAGGAGGAGAATTGGAGTCTTCTGGTAAGTGGAGAGAGCGCCTCATCAGCAGGGTCCCAGCCCACTCTCCAGCTCTTTAGTTATGCTTGCTCTTAATTTTCATGACTTTGCTGTCCAGCATGCTCTGGGCATTAGTGAGATGCTTTACGGCATCAAACACAAGAATGCTCGGTACCACCAACCATATGGCATTCATGAAAACAAAGTAGAACCAGAAATAAATAGGGTGGCCTATCTCCCCATGCTGGAATCCATCTCGTAGCTCTGTCAGGAAGTACAGCACATCCCCGTATATCTGGCCTGTGGGAGGCAAGAGAAGGAAAAGTCCTTGTGAGGACAAGGAAGCTAAGCCAGGCTCAACTCCATGGCATCCCCTAAGGCAATTCTTCAAAGAACTCAACCCACATTTTGAAACCAAAGCTGGAAATTTGACAGAATGAGGTACAATTTCCAGAAATCAGAGTTTGGGGAATTTTTTTCCTTTCTTGCCTTCTCCCTAACCCTCCCTCTGCAACCCCCCCCTCCGGTGTGTATGTGTGTGTGTATGTGTGTGTCAGAGAGAGACAGAAAGAGAGTCTTGCTATGTAGCCTAGGTTGACCTCAAACTCACAATCCTCATGCTAGGATTATAAGCATTTACCCATGTACCACAACACCCAGCAGGGGCATGGAGACTTCAACTCAGGGAAGCTCATCCTAGAACTGAAGGCAAGCTTAAAATCCTAGAATACATGACAACTCAGGATTTCAGAACTAAAGAGAGCTCATGTAAGCAAACAAAAGAAAGCTAACACTCCAGATCCTGATTCTGGACCCAGGAGCCTTGGGTAGCATCAAATACATCAGGTAACCTTGGTAGGAAACTCTGATGGAGAAAGAAGAAAAAATATACATTCCTTCTGGAGAGTCAAGCACAGAGAGGGATTTTGGCGTTTCAAGGCACCAAGGACCTTTCTTTTTTCCTTTTTTTTTTTCTTTTTCGAGACAGGGTTTCTCTTTATATCCTGGGCTGTCCTGGAACTCACTCTGTAGACCAGGCTGGCCTTGAACTCAGAAATCTGTCTGCCTCTGCCTCCCAAGTGCTGGGATTAAAGGCGTGCGCCACCACTCCCTGGCTTACCAAGGACCTTATAATTGAGCATGTCTCATCCCTGAATGGACACTTAGATCTCACCCATGGGGATGTGCGTGTGTCTATGGATTTCCCCCAGTAACCCTTGAAGTGCCAGGTATAGGCTTTCTCACCCACAGAGATCACAAGCTGTAGGACAAATCGGAAGGGTTGTTGGCGGAGAAAGGCAATCACTACCCATAGGCTGAGTGGTCCCCAGAGACAAGCTGTGACAGTCTCCATACAGACAGTGAAGTTGTCACTACTGCAAGAGAAAAGATGGACACTGGCATCATTGTGCTCTCTCGTTAGTCTCCCCAGCTCACCATTGTCACAAACTAATGCAGGTTTCAACTAACAGAGGCAAAATACTTACAGGATATATCGGCTGTCTCCCTTGGAATACTCTTTCCCTGAGGGAGACAATGATACATGAAGAATCGAGTCAGGAAATGGAACTCATATCTATAATGACTATATAAGACAACAAACGGTTATAATACCCTGTACAATGGAGGTAGTAGTTTTGCTTCTAAGGTGTGTGTTTGTATAGTTTGTGTAAAGACTGATATAGAACAATGTTGCTGTGGTTACAAGGTATGCAGTATAAAAGGTATAAACGATGGAGAGTGTGGCTCAGGTGCGATGGCGCATGCGTGTTATCTTAGCACTGGGGAGGTAGAGGCGAGAGGACGAGAACTTCAAGTTCATCCTTTAACTACATAGATACTTAGAAGCCGGCATGGACTGCATGAGACTCCTTCTGGAAACAAATAGAAGGTGGAGGGTGAAAGGCAGGGGTGAGGGCGGGACAGAGCAAGTACATGCACATATACATGTGAACAGATAGGTGCATGAAAGAGTGAGCAGATAATCGGAAGATCCAAGCGCGTAGCTCAGTGATAGAGGAAGTCTGGGGCCCTGTGTTGTATTCCCAACACCTTTCCCAAACCATAACCCCAATACAGGCAAGGGACTTAAACAGGTTCTTCCCAAAGGATTATTTCCAAATGGCCAATTAACATATGGAAGGTGCTCAAAGCATCATTAGTCTTCAAGGAAAAGCAAATTAAAACCACAGTGAATCATTACATCTACTAGAGGGACTAAACTTTAGGAAATACCTGATGACACTAAGTGGATGTGGAAGAACCAGAACTCTGCTGTTCCGCTGATGGGACTGTAACTGTACCATCATTTCTGCAAACCGTTTGGTAGGGTTCTCTCCCAACCCAAACAAAACCCAGGGCCTTGGATGTGTGTGCCAAGTAATTACTATGGTGCTGAGCTACGCCCCTAAAATTGTAACCATAGTTACTATAAGATCCAGCCATTCACCTGTATCTAGTTATCTAACATAAATGGAAACAACTGTGTGTCTATATAAGTATATATGTGTGGGCGTGTGTGTGTGTCTGTGTGTGTGTGTATATGTGTGTAAAATAAAATGCTCATAGCAGCTTTTTTCATGGGGCCAAAAAGACATTGTCAAGAATACTGAAGTCTTGGGGGAAATATCCTTCAGTACTGTACAAGCCAAATAATTTTATAATGTTTATGCTTTGAAAGTGCTTTATGAAATGAGGGGCGACCCCATTTTTAAAAACAACGCTTGGAAGAGCATGTATACCATGCTACCATTTATATAATGACTCATGCAAATATATGTGCAATCAAACAATTAACAGGCTGGGTGTGGTGGCAGATGCCTTTAATCCTAGCATCTGGAAGGCAGAGGCAGGAGAATTTCTGAGTTCAAGACTAGCCTTGTCTACATAGAGTTCCAGGCCAGCCAAAGCTATACAGTGAGGTCTTGTCTCAAAACCAACCAACTAACCAACCAACCAAACAAACAAACAAACAAGTCTGGAGATGTGGATAGCTCAGAGATAAAGTACTTGCTGCTCTTGCAGGGGACCTGGGTTCAGTCCCCACATGGGGACTCACAACTGTACCTAACTGAATGGGGTACAGTAGTATACCCTTTAATCCAAGTACTTGGGAGGCAGAACCAATCGATCTGTGTGAATTCAAGGCCAGCTTGATCTACACACACAGCAAATTCCAAACCAGTCAGGTTTATGTGAAGCCCCATCTCCAAAAATACATATATATAAAATAAAATTTAAAAACAATTTAAAAGGCCCGTGATGAGCAGTGCATGTGTGGAGAGGTGGTTATGTGGTTAAAATCGCTGCTTTTCAGGAGGTCAGGGCATATACATTTTGACTCACAATCCTTTTTAACTCTAGAGGTCTCAATTGCCTCTTTTGATCTGCAGGTATTGCATGCATGAATTATGCAGACACCCATGTAGGGAAAACACTCATGTACATCAAATTAAAATAAAAAATATTAATTAAAAAAATTGGGGGTGGAGAGATGGCTCAGTGGTTAAGAGCACTGACTGCTCTTCCAGAGGTCCTGAGTTCAATTCCCAGCAACCACATGGTGGCTCATGACCATCTGTAGTGGGATCTGATGCCCTCTTCTGGTGTGTCTGAAAAGAGCTACAGTGAAAATTATATATATATAAAAGAAAAGCCCAGGGGCGATGGTGGCGTATGCCTTTAATCCCAGCACTTGGGAGGCAGAGGCAGGCGGATTTCTGAGTTCGAGGCCAGCCTGGTCTACAGAGTGAGTTCCAGGACAGCCAGGGCTACACAGAGAAACCCTGTCTCGAAAAAAACAAACAAAAAAAACCCCCAAAAAACAAAACAAAAAGACAAAAAAAAAGTCCAGCCATCCTTAATTTCAGTTTCAGGGATGTGGTTCCTGTCTCCATGAGCATGTACAAGGCATAAACACTTGTGTGCAGGCAGCACACTCATAAATACAAAATAAAAATTAATAAATTTTAAAAATAAAAATAAAGAATCCCAGCACAGAAAGCAACTGCTCAGGCTTTTTTAAAAAAAAAAAAAGTTAACAGAATTAGAAAAAAGGAGAAAGCAATTGGTGAGTGGGTAACTATCAAAGTGAATCTCTACCCAGAAAATTCCCTCCCATAATAGAAGAACCCAGGACTCACAGAGTTGGGATAAGAAGGCTTGGTCTTCGAGAAGGATGTCATAGTAGAGAGAGAACCAGCCCTCGATCACAAGGTGAATGAATGCACACACAGCAAACCAGCACAGAGCCAGTCGACGCCCAGTTCCAAGTGGGACAATGGAAGCTCGGCTAGACAACAGCCACATGATCACAATTAGGCCCCCAGAGATGGAGAATAGGCTAACCAGGATATGCCAAGTCTCAAGGTCATTAGGCACGAAGTTGTCCAGCTTCAGGTGCCTGGGCCAGTACGGGTGCAAGGGGATCATATTGGTGGTCATGGTTCTATGAAGCGCTGGGTAGCTTTGTACATAAACGGAGGAAAAAGGAACAGAAAAACCTGGGTGAACACAAAGCACATGGTGAGATAAATCACATCCAAATACTTTCCAACAAGAAAAGTAAGTGAACTATACCTATTATTTGACAGAATGACTTGTAAGACTGGATTTTTAAAAGGACCACGTTTAGCTGAACCTGGTGTCACATGCACTTATGTATTGAGGCCCAGCCCTTGAAGGCAGGTGGCTCTCTGTAAGTTTGAGGCCAGCCTAGTCTACATAGTGAGTTCCAGGTTAGCCAGGGCTACAAAGTAATACCCTGTCTCAGAATGAGAGGTGGGGAAGAGGGGCGGGGGGGGGAGCGAATCTAATTTTGAGGCATTTCAAAAATATAACTGGGGATGTATCAGTGATTTAGAGCACTTGCTCTTGCGCCCTCATGGTGGCTCACAACCCTCTCTAACTCCAGTTCCAGCGGATCCAACACCTTCTTCTGTGGCTTCTGTGGGCACATACATACATGCAGTCACAATACTCATACATACAAAATAAATCTTAAAAAGGGAATATAGCTCAGATTTGAAACCTCATAAAGAATAAAGGCTTGTCTGAGGCCTCTGGCAGGTATAGCAACAAAAAATGGGCCTGGCTTGTGACTGGAGAGCTAGTTAAGAAAATCGGGTAATCATGAGAAGGGAAAAGGTCCCCCCTCACTCTCTAGACAATAATGTCAGAGATTGTGACATATTTGACAAGGTCACCTGTAAAAGAACTATAAACCCTTCTGGGAAACAGCACAAACCTGTCAAAGCTGGCTAATGGATTCATATGTATAAAGATTCCTTTGATCAACATGTTTTCTCTACCGTCTTCACCTGCAAGTCTGTACTGAAATCCGATCCTCAAGGACAGTGGATTTTAAATGAAAAAAAAAAAAAAAAACAAGCACACACTTTCCTTAACATCTCAACTTAGTTATAACACTGCGTGGTAGCACATACCTGAAATCCCAGCATTCTGGGGTCTGAAGCTGAAGGAATGCAATAGCTAGCCTGGTCTACATAGAAAGTTTAGGATAGCCAGAGCTACATAGCAAGATACTATATTCAAACAAATAAACAAACTTAGAGATTAAGTAGCTTCCAAGATCTCCGAGTCAGATAAATAGCTTCTTCGGGGCACCTAGACGCATTCCTTTCTGAACACTCGTTTGTCAAATGCAGCTCGCCTTTCTGCTTTAATAAACTCACTAAGTTTGCTTCATTGTGATACATCCTAGCATTGTCTTACACAGCAGGTTTCAAGGCCTCCGGTGCACCTAGGCAGAGGCTTCTGAGGCTCTGTAGAGGAATCATCAGGCTGCACTGCCAGCAACATCGAGTTGTAGTTCTTGTCGCTAGTCACAGAGTATGATCATAGTCTGGTGGGAGAGTCACTGTCACCTAGACAGGTCCTAGCACTTTGGAGCTCAGTTTGTTGGAAAGAAACAGGAATATAGCCTGGGTGCATGCACTGCACGGTCCAGTGGCTGGGATTTAACTGGACGCTACTCCCACCCGCGGGGTTGCACAGATGACTAATCAGAGCCGTGGCCCCAAGCACTGCGTTTCAAAAGCAAGACTCCAGGCAATCAGTCAACAAGCCAGGAGTAGCAAAGGCAGGGGTCTCACGGGCGGCGCTAACCAAGAAAAAGGGGAACCAAGCCCAGAGACTACCAATCACAACCAGAACCTTCCACTGCAGCTGCCCAACAAGAGGGCGAGTCTTCCGTCGTCTGGACAACCGGTTTAGGGCCCGGGTCCCGCGCAGGCGCAGGGTAAGGCAGGGCTCGCAGGTAAACCGCTGTCGTGGAGGGTCTGGGCACGTGGAGGGAGTCGGGCAAGCTGGCTGGCGGAGGGCACTCACCCCAGGCGGCGCGATCGCGGGGCGACTTCCTAACACTGGCTTGCGACTTTCCAGGAAGACCTGCAGGCTCCCTAATAGTCCCAGTTCCGCTCTGCTCTCGCGCTTCCCCGCCCGATGGAGCGGACCAATAGTGAAGTGGAGGAGGTGGCTTCTGCCAATAGGAGTTCTTCATATGTCACAGGCCCTGTCCTCGCCTATGGTGTCATCTTCCCTGTTGGCTGAGACCAAGTCAGGAGTGGGGTGGAGACCTGCAAGGTCAGTGGGCGCTTTCTGCCGATAGCAAATCTATGCTATTCTGCGCTTCAATTTCCCTGCCCCCCTTATCAGTCGCACAAGATAAGGCTAATGAAATGGTAAATCCTCAACGTTTGCTAGTGAACCTGAGTTGCGTGGTCCTCTATCTCTAAGTTTTCTAGGCAACCAGTCAGTTGCAGGACCCATTCTTTGTCCGAATGCAAAGAAACTACGACAGGTGGATTACATTCAGCACAAACCTAGCGCCCACCAGAGCTCAGAACTCTCCGGTCCTAACAGCACCAGACATCCTCAAACCCTCATTCCTGCAGACCAGTTGATGTGGAGACTCTCAACCGTGCCAGTTCTTAAGAGCCAAACAGAAGGCTTGACGCTAAAAAAAGTTGGAAAATAGACCTCATCAGCATCCAGTCAGAAATCAGATTCATCTCAAACTGTCAGTTTAATTATAACCTATAACCCTCAGCCCTAAGGACCAGTAAGCATCCACCCTTCATCTGCCTTGCCCTCCCATGCTCTCTGTCCTAATCTGAGGAACCAATCAGAATAGGGATTCCTCAATTCTCCGTCAAGCGTTATAAGTATTATTAAGCTTTCTCCACAAAATCCGTTCCTGCTCTACGCAAGCAGGACCAGGACCCCGCCATTCTGGACTCATTAGCCAATCACAGACCCTTTTGAATTCATCCAACGTGCTTCCCCCCGACCCCCCATGATTCTGTTTCCAAACCCTTATCTGTGGTGAAATTTCTTTGCTTTCTTCTCTTCCCCTCTGATTAGTGAAGAACGAGCCGGTTGTGTAATTTCTACTTTTATTTGACAATAACAAACTGCATATAAAAAAGGGAGAAGGCAGGCGCGGAGGCCCTAGATCTGCTCCTCTCTGCTTCCCCAAGTATCCACTGTTCCTAGGCCCCAACAAGGCCCACCCCCTTCCCGCCTGGTGGTTGGGTGAGGATTGACAGGCATGGAAAGGCTGTGTGTGTTTGTATGTTGTGGGGAGGGGTGTTGGGGGCTCAAGAATGGGGGGGTCATGGAGTAGAGAAAGGGCCTTCCCTCATCCCCCATCAGAGTTGGCACCCTAAGGAGGGGTATTGAAGGGGATTATGAAGGTCATATGCCTCAGCCTATGAGACGGTAGAAGATCCAGCATCCAAAAGTGACCCAGTGACTGGCCCAGCTGAGTTCTGACCACTTGTGAACAGTGTATGCCATGCCATAGCCCTGTGGGAGAGAAACAAGTCATGATTTTGAAATTCAACAAGGACAGAAGAGTCTCAGGAAAAACCATCTTTTGCCCAGGGATCTTTGGTACTTCATATTCCTGAGTAACAGAAGGGTCTAGGTACTTATCAAGGGTGACCAGATATAGTTTGGTTTCATCTTCTTTAAAGATCATTTTAAGGGGCCAAGTATACAGCTTGATGGGAGGGGGACGTTTTGATTTCTAGCACACCAAAAAAGAGTCATTTTAAAAACAAGACAATGTGCTGGATGCAGTGGGTCATGCTGGTCACTGAAGTCATTTGGATAGGAAACCACTGGAAATCTGAGTGTCCACAAATCAGGGACAAAGTAAACCATGTCAAATTCTTGCAATGAAAAAGAAGGAGGAGGAGGAGGAAGAGGAGGAGGAGGAGGAACACTATGTACTTAAAAAATTGGGGGAAGCCAGAAGTGGTGATAACACCTTTAGTCCCAGCACTTAGTACTCGGGAGGCAGAGGCAGGCAGATTTCTGAGTTTGATGCCAGCCTGGTCTACAGAGGGAGTTCCAGGACAGCCAGGGCTATCTGTCATCTCAAGGGGAATAAACTAGGGGAAAGAAATGAAAATATAGTGTGTGTATATTTGATATGCTTTGGGGAAAAGTTAATGAGTAAAATGAATGTGTGGACATTTTGCAGCAAATCTTTACAACACTTACTTTGTGGTTTGTTTTAGGGTGCAGGGCAGACAAAAGCTCTACCACTGAGCTATACTCCCAGCCCTAAAGTTTTGCTTTTCAAGGCATGGTTTCTTCATGTAGCCCTAGCTGGCCTGAAGCTTACTATGTAGACCAGGCTGGCCTCAAACTCACAGAAATCCACCTGCCTCTGCCTCCTGGGTGTTGGGACTAAAATCATTTATCCCCACACCCAGCACTGAAATGTTTTAAGACATGTTAAAGAAGCCTGAGGTGATGGTGTGTGCCTGCAATATCATCAATTTGGGAGGCTGAAGCAAGGAGGATTTTTTTTTCTCTAAAAAGAAACCAAAGTGGGCATGATGGGTGACATATATAATCTATTTTCTCAAGGACATGGTTTTTGTTTGTGGCTCTGGCTGTCCAGTAACTTGATCTGTAGACCAGGCTGGCCTTGAACTCAGAGATCCACCTGCCACTGCCTCCTGAGTACTGGGATCAAAGACATGTACCACCATGCCCGGAGACATAAGTAATCTTCACACTATGGAGACTGAGATTTGACAAACACGTTTCAAGGGAGCCTGGACTAAAATAATTACAATAACAACAAAACAGGGAAAAAAACCACCCAGAGTTTTACTTACTTACTTTTTTAGGAAACAGGGTTTCTCTGTGTAACCCTGGCTGTCCTGGAACTCAGGAGAGCCCATAGAACTTGTTCCATGGACCAGGCTGGCCTTGAGCTCACAGACGAGGCCTGCCTCTGCCTCCTGAGTGCTGGGAATATACCTCATCATGCCTAGCTGCAAACCCAGATTTCCTACACTCAATTTGAATGAAAATTTTTAAAAGAATGTTTGTAATTAAGAAAATAACATGAGCCGGGCAGTGGTGGCTCATGCCTTTGATCCCAGCACTTGGGAGGCAGAGGCAGGTGGATTTCTGAGTTCGAGGCCAGCCTGGTCTACAGAGTGAGTTTGAGGACAGCCAGGACTACACAGAGAAACCCTGTCTCGAAAAAAAAAAACAAACAAAAAAACAACAACAAAAAAAACAAAACCAAAAAAAAAACAAAAAAAAAGAAAGAAAAAAGAAAAAGAAAATAACATGAAATTTTATTTTCAATTAAGAATTTAGAAATTGGGGAGAGATGGCTCAGCAGTTAAGAATGTTGGCTGCTCTTCCAGAGGTCCACTGTAGTGAGAGAGTTCAATTTCCAGCACCGACATGGTGGCTAACACCCATCTGTAACTGTAGTCCCGTTCGATATGATGCTTTCCTCTGGTGTACATACATGCAGACAAATTACCCATATACATAAAGTATGCAAGTAAATCTTTTTTTAAAGAACTAAAAAAAGTACTTCAAGGCTAGCCTGGTCTACATTGTGAGTTCCAGGACAGCCAGGACCACACTGACAAACCTTGTCTCAAAAACAACAACAAAATTAAACAATTTAACTACTGGAGAGGCTAAGACAGAAGATATGGAGTTTGCAACTTGGAACAACCCTGTCTTGGAAAAAAAAGAAAAAGAAAAAAAAAGAAAAAGAAAAACTTGGAACAATGGCATCCTATCTCAAAAGGGAAAAAAAATAACAAAAACAAAAACAAAAAGAGAAAAAGTAAGACTTAAAAAAAAGCAAATTTAAGATTCTTCAAAACCCATATGAACTAAATTTCAAATTGAGAGTTTTTTAAACAGTAGGGTCTCAATTATGTTGTACAGGTGGCAACACTCCTGGGCTTACATGACATCCCTGCTTCAGCATCCCAAGTAGCTGGCACCTGTCTGTGTGCATCACCACTCCAAGGATTTTAAAGCAGAATCCAGGGCTATGGAAGGAGCTCAATTGGTAGAGTGATTACTCAGCACACAGGAAGCCCTAGACTCCATCCCCAGCACAGCATAAACTGGGCCTAGAGGCACAGGTCTATCATATACCACACAGAAGGATGATTAGAAGTTCAAGGTCGTCTTTGGCTCCATAATAAACTTGATACCAGCCGGGCGATGGTGGCGCATGCCTTTAATCCCAGCACTTGGGAGGCAGAGGCAGGTGGATTTCTGAGTTCGAGGCCAGCCTGGTCTACAGAGTGAGTTCCAGGATAGCCAGGGCTACACAGAGAAACCCTATCTCTAAAACCAAAAAGTAAACGATACCAGTCTGAGCTATGTGAGTCAGTCTCTCTCTCTCTCTCTCTCTCTCTCTCTCTCTCTCTCTCTCTCTCTCTCTCTCTCTCTCTCTCTCTCTCTCTCTCTCCCAGTTGTTCTCCAAGGATGAAGCCATTCTAGACAGACATTCTAGACAGAGTATTAGAGAAGTCTCTCTCTCTCTCTCTCTCTCTCTCTCTCTCTCTCTCTCTCTC